GCAGGTTACCTATACTATGGAACATATTCAGAAATCAAAAGGAACAGACTATTGATACAATCTCATTCAATCTCCAGAGAATTACACTGAGTGAAAAGGCCAATCCCAAAATGTTATATACTGTCTGGTACCATTTATATAACATTCTTAAAATGATTCTTTAAAAGGAAATAGAGAACAGGTTAGTGGCTTCCAGGAGTGAAGGAGAGGGTTGTCTGTGGCTCTAAAAGGGTAAAATGAGGGATCCCTGTGAATATGGAAGTGTGCGGTATATTGACTATATCCATGTCAGTATCCTGATTGTTGTATTGTACTTTAGTTTTGCAAGATGTTACCTTTGGAGGAAACTGGGTAAAGGATACATGGAAACTCTCCATATTATTTCTTATAACTGCATGTCAATCTATAATCATCTCAGAATTAAAAGTCTAATTAAATAATAAATGAACAGATCATTCATGAGCTGTGGGACAACTCCAAGCAGCCTTAAAAGGTTAGGAGAGGAGAAATGGAAATACATTTTTATAAGGTTTTTATGCTTTACATGAACTGGTATAATATTACTTAAAGGTAGAATGTTTAAGATATATAGTTTAAGATATATAGTCTAAATCCTAAAGAAACCCTAAAACAAAAACAGTTATAGCTGAATAGCCAGAAAAGGAGATAAAATGGAATCACAAAAATTTGATCCAAAAAAGGGCAGGAAATGGGGTGCAGGGGGTGGGAGAACTATGGGACAAAGAGAAAACAAAGAGCAAGGTGATAGACTTAAACCTAATGTTAGTAAGTATCTCAAATACAAGTGATTAAATATTCCAATTAAAAAACAAGAGATCACATTGATGATGACGATAAAAAAGCAGGACTACAGCAACAGCCAAACCAAGTACTTCTGGTTCTTGAAGGTAGTTTTCCTTGAAATACCTCATTTGGCCATGTTACAACCACATTAGATAACAGCAAGCTGCTAACACCCCAAAGTTCTTTGTATCTTCAGGTCATGCAAAAATGCAATATAGATGGTGGGCATGAAATGAAAAAGAAACAAACAGGTAAGTTCGTTATGTGTTATCAAGTGCACTAACTTAACACTGTCCGGTCAGTAAGTTCAAAACACTTAGCAGCCAGCTTTTGAGGCAGTGTGACCTAGCAGGAATCATACTGAGGAGTCCTGGCTCCTTCACTGACTAGTTATGAGTCACTGGGCAATCACTTCATTTTTCTGAAACTCCATTCATTCATCTGAAAGATGGAGTAAGAGCACATAGTTGTAAATACTATATGTTGTTTCACTTAAAGTGCATATAGTATGGCCTGGGATTCAGGCATTGCTCAATTAATGTTAACTTCTTTCCTCTTCCACCTTATTTGTGCATCTGAGTAGCAGCCAACCAAAGATACCAGGTCCTGATTTCTGGAACCTGGTAAATGTTGCTGTAAATGGCAATTTTTGCCGGTGTAATGTGGATCACCGGGGTGAGTCCTAAGTGCCACGTTTCCTTATGAGAGAAGCAAATGGAGATCAGACACAGAGAGGGGGTGATGTGAAGACAAAAGGAGAGATTGAGGAGTGATGTGGCCACAAGCTAAGGAATGCTGGCAGTCACCAAACACTGGAAAAGAAAAGGCACAGATTCCACCCTAGAGCCACACCAGGGAGTGCAGCCCTTCCAACACCATGATTTCAGCCCACGAAAACGGATTTCAGACTTCTGGCCTCCAGAACTAAGAGAATAAATTTCTTTTGTTTTATGCCTCTAAATGTGTGGTAACTTGTCATAAAGCCACAGGAAACTAATATACTAACCATGACTAATTCAAAGATGGTTACTCAGTTGGAGGGGGTTCCTGACAGTGGCACTGGGGTAAGGGACCATGGATGCTAATTACTCAATAAAGAAGTCCACATTCACGTTATCAAAGTTGTAAAATAAAAAGGTAATGTTTGTAAAAAAAAAAAAAAAAGTCCACAAAGATGAAGATGGTTAGGGTGCACCTGGGTGGCTGTCATTAAGTGTCCGCCTTCGGCTCAGGTCATGATCCCAGGGTCCTGGGATCGAGCCCCGCATCAGGCTCCCTGCTCAGCAGGAAGCCTGCTTCTCCCTCTCCCACTCCCCCTGCTTGTGTTCCCTCTCTCGCTGTGTCTCTGTCAAATAAATAAATACATTCTTAAAAAAAAAAAGAAAACGATTAAACATCATTCGGGCTATCACATCTCAAAGCTGAAACACCTCAAAGGAGCCAGCTCCTGGTTCAGGTACAGAATAGAAAATACCCATTTTTCGGGCGCCTGGGTGGCTCAGTCGTTAAGCGTCTGCCTTCGGCTCAGGTCATGGTCCCAGGGTCCTGGGATCGAGCCCCGCGTCAGGCTCCCTGCTCAGCGGGAAGCCTGCTTCTCCCTCTCCCACTCCCCCTGCTTGTGTTCCTGCTCTCGCTGTCTCTTTCTCTGTCAAATAAATAAATAAAAAAATATTAAAAAAAAAATACCCATTTTTCAAATGGTGTTTCCGAGGGTGAAGTGACCTAAGAGCCCGGTCCTCTGCCTCCTGGGTATGCCATATTAAGATACTGTCTGTAGTAGACATGTCTGTTTTAGCTCAATCTATGCTTTCCCTCACTGTTGCCTATTCCCCATCTACCTCCCTCTCTCTGAAGTCAGGTACAGCCTCATCCTGACTTGTTCCTGATATTTTCCACCTCTATGGAGTTTATCAGTCTCCTCCAACAGCCCCTCTTCTGTTACTGACCTTCTCTCTGATCTTGACAGGGCAATACTAGGATGGCCAGGACACCAGTGGGCTCTGAAACCAGGCTGCCTGTGTTTGAACCCTGGCTCTGCTACTTCTGTGTCCTTGGGTGGCCTAATTAATCTTTGCCTCAATTGTAACATGGAGCTAACTACAGCAACTACTTCATACAATTAAGTGTGTGCAGTGATTAGGGACGTGCCTGACACAAGGTGAGCGTCAAAAGTGTATTACTGCTGTGACATCATTTATTAAGGGCAGCTGTGGCTAACGTGGCACCATGTGAAACTAAGTCAGGGAATCTGTTACTCTCACCAGTTTTATTCTGAGTGCTTTTAGATCATCTGCCCTCAAAATGATCCCCCTGGGGCACTTGGGTGGCTCAGTGGGTTGAGCATCTGCCTTCAGCTCATGTCATGATCCCAGGGTGCTGGGATCGAGCCCATCAGGCTCCCTTCTCCCTCTGCCTGCTGCCCCCCCCTCCGCTTGTGCTGTCAAATAAATAAAATCTTAAAAAGAAAAAAAATGATCCCCCTGAAAATAACGCACATGTGTACCAACAGCAGGCAATAATTGTGGTATATTCACGTAACAGAATGCCACGTGGCAATGAGAATGAATCTATATTGATGATTCCGTTCACGTAAACATTTGTGATGGTAGAAATCAGAAAAGAGGTTACTGTGAGAGAGAAGTAATGACTAGAACCAGGCACAAGGAGACATAGGGTACTGGGATGTACTTTTTCCTGATCTTGGTGATGATAAGGCCATGTTTTTGTTTTTGTTTTTTAATATTTTATTTATATATTTGAGAGAGAGAATGAGATAGAGAGCATGAGAGGGGGGAGGGTCAGAGAGAGGCAGACTCCCTGCTGAGCAGGGAGCCTGACGTGGGACTCGATCCCGGGACTCCAGGATCATGACCCGAGCCGAAGGCAGTCGCTTAACCAACTGAGCCACCCAGGCGCCCCAATAAGGCCATGTTTTTGATAATATTTCAGGTTGTACACTTTCCTGTGTGTATATTATACTTCAATTTTTAAGTTAAGTGATTCCCTCAGCCTGTCACTCATTGGTCAGTTCAACTGCTGCCGAATAAGGAAGAGGTGGTGAAGCCACCAGGTGGCAGACTTCAGGGAGCAGGTGAAGTCTGGAGTGTGGCAGGGTGACTGCCACAATGGCTGGCAGCAAAAGGGCACAGGAGACAAAGGAGGGCACAGACCACATTCATCACACCTAAGTTAAAGAGCCAGCTCTGTCTTCCTACTGAGACACCTCAGCACTCCCTCTTATGAGAGAACTAGAGCATTTCCTTGGCCCACTGACCAATTCAAAGGGCAAGGTGGGCATGCTATTCTAGACACGCTGGTAAGTGGCATGCTGTAAACGCTACAATAGCCCGGCATTTACCAGTTTAATCCCTAGAATAGCACCCATTCCAAATAAAAATTGAGTAAACAAAATGAAAGCTTTAAGAGCGGTAGCTTTTGGTTTCACAGGACTTATCTTGAGAATGGACTCCTTGATGCAGGCACAGTTTTGCAGTAACATCAAACTCGTATCACAGAGCTTAAATAGCTAGAACTTCTATATACTGGTACCCTGATGTAGCCCAGGCTATTACATTACAATGGGTTTTCCATTCTTGTTACAATCACAGGGACTGCTGGAACTATAGCTAAAGACTTTCCCACACATCATACACATAAAAACATTTCTCCAGGGGCACCAGGGTGGCTCAGTCGTTAAGCGTCTGCCTTTGGCTCAGGTCATGATCCCAGGGTCCTGGGATCAAGCCCTACATCAGGCTCCCTGCTCAGCGGGAAGCCTGCTTCTCCCTCTCCCACTCCCCCTGCTTGTGTTCCCTCTCTCGCTGTGTCTCTCTCTGTCAAATAAATAAAATCTTTAAAAAAAAAAACATTTCAGGCACCTGGGTGGCTCAGACGGTTAAGCGTCTGCCTTCGGCTCAGGTCATGATCCCAGGGTCCTGGGATCGAGTCCCGTATCGGGCTCCCTGCTCCTTGGGAGCCTGCTTCTCCCTCTGCTTCTCTCTCTCTCTCTGTCTCTCATGAATAAATAAATAAAATCTTAAAAAAAAAAAACAAAAAAACATTTCTTCATCAGGTTTGTTAGCCCTGAAGATTTTTGTTAGAGTGATAAAGCTCTCTTGCAAGGAAAGAAAACCTCCCCTGAACTTGCTTGAACAAAAAGACAACAAAACAAAAACAAAATTAAACATATTGCTTACTGGAACTCAAAAACCCAGCTGTACTTCTGGCTTCAGATATGGTTTAATGTAGTTGTTCAAACAGAAGCTTTGAGGGTGATTGCTCTTCAACTCTGATTTCTTTTTTGCTGTGCTTTCTCCTCAGCCTCCACAAGAATCTAAGAGTTCCTCTCAGCTTTAAGACTAAGGGGAAAAAGTAGAGTTATTTCTTCCTATTAACTCTTGCCGAGTCCTGGGACTGTAATTGGACCATGTTGGGTAAACTACTGACATCTGAACCAACAGCTATGGCTTAGGGGAAGGAACATGCAGCTGAGCCAGGCCTGTGTCACACATCCTGCTCCTGAGTGGAAGATGAAATCCAAAGGGAAATTTAGTGTACTATTACCAGTAAAAGGGGGTGAAAAATTCTGGGAGGCCAAAATGACAAATGTCCAGGACGACAGGTTTCTCTCCGGGGTGGACATGCTCATGATGACCTAGCTTGGAAGAAGTCCTAAAGGTTTTTTCATACTTGACACACTCATAGGGTTTCTCTGCAGTATGGTTTCTTTGATGCTGAAGAAAATTTCTTTTGCTAGCGAAGACTTTACCACAGGCATCACATAAACAGGAAGATTCCTGAATATGGATCCTTAGATGCCTTTTTAATTGTTCCTGAGCACTAAAGGCTTTTCCACAATCTACACAGTCAAAGGGTTTCTCCTCACTGTGGACTCTCTGGTGCCGAGTTAGTTTTGTATGAAAATTGAAGGCCTGCCCACATATTTTACAAGAATAAGGCTTTTCCCCTGTGTGAATACGCTGATGTTGGCTAAGATGAGAAGTCCTTCCAAAGCTTTTGCCACACTCATTACATTCATAGGGTTTCTCTCCAGTGTGGATTTTCTGATGTCGAAGTAGTGGTGAATTACCAACAAAAGCTTTTCCACACTCATTACACTCATAAGGTTTCTCCCCAGTGTGGATTCTCTGATGTATGACAAACTCGGAACTACTGGTAAAACTATTTCCACACTCTCCACAGAGATAGGGCCTGTCCCCACTGTGGATTCTCTGATGCCTGATCAGATTTGCATTATCATTAAAGGCTCTCCCACACTCTTCACATTGATAGGGCTTCTCTCCAGTGTGGATTCTCTGGTGCCGAATTAATGAAGAATTGCCATTAAAGGCTTTTCCACACTCATTACACTCAAAGGGTTTCTCCCCGGTGTGGATTCTCTGGTGTCTAACATAGTAAGAAAAATAACTGAAGCATTTCCCACACTCCTCACATCTGAAGGGTTTTCTTGCACAGTGGATTCTTGGAACCTTTCCTTTAATATTTTTCACTGTGGGGATTTCCTGGTGCTTTTCCAGTTCACAGGTTTCTAGAAAGTTGGCTCCCTGAACAACACTCTTCTGCAAACCATGTGACAATATCACATCTCTTTCTCCAGAAATTCCCTGTGTTGATGTGGACTCATTGCCAACGTTGGTCTCAGTATCTAATAAAAGAGAAAACACAAATGCCACCTGAGAATTATGCTAGAAACAAACAAAAAGCATCAAAAATTATAGGGTCTTTAGAGATTACTATTCCAACCTCCACATCGAACTGCTAGCAAGACCAGGCTACTAAAATTAAAGTGCCAAATATCACACAGAGAACAGTCAAGGAGAAACAGGGTATTGGTATACACAGCACACATCAGATTGCTTCCTAAGCTTTTCCAGACTCCGTATTTTTTGAATAACTTCTCTCTGGTACATTCTAGTATCTCTTGACCTTATCATATTCATAGGCCTACAAAATGCCAAAGGCACAGGCCCTAAGAGCAAGTGGTGACACTGGGGCTAGCAAGACTCAAGAGTCAGAAAGCACAACAGAACAGAGTCAGAATACAAATGTGATGAAGGAAAAAGGTTCTTTTAAAAAATTCATACCTAAAAATAAATAAAAAATCCATACCCTGTAAATAGCCCCAAAGCCTGGAGACACTAAGCATTAAAGGGACTAGGCTGTGACAAGACAAGGGAGAGAAGAAAATCACACTCAGAGGGTCTTAAATACAGGACATCCCCCAAAGGTTGTTAACTGCAGGTCCACAGAGGACAATGAACTCCCTAAAATTGCTGGCAATTCCCGTCTTGTTATCAGACTCTCACAAAAGTCTGGATCTCAAGCACGCAGAGACTTTATTTGGAAAGGGAAGAATACAGTTTACCTAGATACACAAAGACTGCAGAGTAGTTCTCATTTCAGCCACCTGTAAAATGGCATTTGTATTCCAAGACTGTATGCCATTTTACCTCGTTAAAGTCATTCTACTTTTTAAAAAGATTTTATTTATATATTTATCAGAGAAAGAAAGCGTGCTCAAGTAGGGGGAGCGGCAGGCAGAGGGAGAAGCAGACTTCCTGCTGAGCAAGTAGCCCAATGTGGGGCTCAGTCCCAGGACCCCGGGATCATGACCTGAGCCGAAGGCAGACACTTAACTGACTCAGCCACCCAGATGTCCCAAAGTCAATCTATTTTATATAAAATGTTGGACTAATTTTAACATTAATCTCAGGTATCTGGGACTCATCTAATCAAGTTCGTCCTTCAAGTGTGTGTTAAACGAGTAAGAGCCCTTGGAGAAAGGCAGTGGGAGAGGAGACATTGGAGACTGAAGTAAACAGGGTGCTCAGTTATAAAACCAGGACTGGGCAATCAATGACCAAAATACTCTATTTTCCTGCTGCCCCATAATCTGCCATCATCTAGATCAGGATCCCCACAGCAGTTCTTCCAAGCCATCACCTTCCTAGGTCTCTAGCCATTACCCCCACCTTCCCGCTGAAAGAACAAAGCTGCCCAGATGCAGTGCCCTCAACGTCTTTCCCTTCCATTTCTACACCCACTCATTACAAGCCATCTGCTCCCTCTCAAGTCTCACACTTCCCAATCACCCCTGATGCCATCTCCTCCCTCCCCCTGCTACACTGCTCTACCAGCTGTGTCATCCCTCCTCTTCATCACCAACCTCCTTCTGCAGATCCTCAAATCCACTTGGGCTTAACCATCATCCCTTCACATCCAACTTTTTCTTTCTTTCTTTTTTCAAAGATTTTATTTATTTGACAGAGAGAGACACAGTGAGAGAGGGAACACAAGCAGGGGGAGTGGGAGAGAGAGAAGCAGGCTTCCCGCAGAGCAGGGAGCCTGGTGTGAGACTCGATCCCAGGACCCTGGGACCATGACCTGAGCCGAAGGCAGGTGCTCAACGACTGAGCCACCCAGGCGCCCCCCAACTTTTTCTTATAGCAGTGTTTTTCAAACTGCTTACCCATTAGTTGTGAAATGGACATAGTATGTAACTATCAGACAATTTTTAAAATGAAACACACTAGCCTAACCTAGAACAGAATTCACATACATTGCAATGCCAAGGTAAATTCTGTCTCTTGAAACTCCAGTCTCAAAGTACATAATGCATATACAGGGTGAAGCTCATAATAAAAGAGTTGGTACGGTTGTATTTCATTTCTAAACTTACCAAAATAAACCTATCTAAAGTGCTGCCTATAATCTCAGGAAACAAACTGAGGGTTGCTGGAGTGGTGGGGGGTGGGAGGGATAGGGTGGCTGCGTGATGGACACTGGGGAGGGTATGTGCTACGGTGAGCTCTGTGAATTGTGTAAGACTGTTGAATCACAGACCTGTACCCCTGAAACAAATAATACATTATATGTTAATAAAAAAATAAAAAATAAAGTGCTGCCTCAATTTCCTCATCTCCCATTTACTCCTTCTCTACAAAGTATCTACCCTGAAACTCCTACCCTTGGCTTCAGGTCCATGTTCCCTCTTGGGGACGCTCCTCTGTCTACTTTCTCCTCCCTGTCTCAATAAAATTAAATATCCCTTAATATTTAAGATTCAGCTCTTTTTGTTCTCTGGGTGTCATTTTAATTAAAACTCTGGTAGAGTACCCTTGCATCTACTCCTATAGACCTGACATTTATCTCAGACTCTACACCTGCCTTCTCTGTGGCCTGCTCTGGCCATCCAATTATACATATTCTAAAGGAAACTCAGACTCTGTGCTCAGATCTGAATTCACATGAATTTAAAAAGTTTCTTTTATGTCATGACTTCCCAGTGTTATCTGACTCAATTCTCCTCTTTGATGGCCAAGTTTTGATAAGATCTGGTCAATGTTAGCTCCACATGCTCTTTCCTCTTTCTTGTTTGCACTGCCACTATCCCCTTTCCAATTTACTCACTCAAAAGTTAACACTTGACATGTAGTAAGGGTTTTTAACAAGATTCTATACCTTCAATTTCCTTCAGGCCAATCCACAGCAAATACTATGTTAATATTTCACAAATACAACCAAATATGGGCCTATGTCACTAGAGGCAAGGTCACGGTGGCAGGGGTCACTGCTCCTGCTCCTTGTTTGCTTTTACCTGCTCTTTCACTTCCAGTTCCCAAGCCCCAAGTTCATTAGGATAGAGCCCTCAGGTCCACCACCAACTCTGAATTCTAGATTTTCCATACAAGGCTGGGTGGGTAAGACACACCAACTACATTCATATACACCACTGGCTGAGTAAAGGGGGTCAGGATATACTGTAGACTCTGCCAGCCCCAGATTCTAGGAAGTCTTATTTAGCCTTCGAGTCCTAAGCTTCACGCTCCCCCACTGCCTACTAGAAAAGACAAATACTTGTAGGTGCTCCAGAAATATCCATTTTAAAATATGCTCCCCAGGTGACTGTCCCTGAACATTAAACTGCTAAATTCTTCCCAACAATTTACTGGATCCTCTACTCCTTTTCTTAGGCCAGAGACTACCTTTTTTTTCACATGGGATCCATTGTCATAAGTCAAATTTGGAACATATAGCCTGCTACTGAAGAAGCTTACTTAAGCTCCTAAATGAGAATTTCTCCAACTTCTCCTTCTGCTGTGCTCCCATAACCCAATACCTATATGCCAAGAACAGCACTTAACACATTTTTTTTTTTAAAGTTCTTTACATCTGTCTCCATAGCATGTATCCTCCAGAGCTTCTTAAACAAAGCTTGGCACACGGCAAGTGCTGAAAACCACCTGTGAACAAATCCATCCTGTCCTAAGGAGGACCACTGAGATAGGAAAGGCCAAAACTCAGAAAGGAGTAATGGATTCAAAAATTACATGAAATTTACTAAGGGGAACTTGTTATCTTAATAAGAGTTAAAATTAATGGAAAAGGTTTCATATTTTACTTACTAGGAGAAATCACCCATTTTATTTAAATCCTTCCCAGCATGGTTCATTTTAAAATACACTGCTCTATAAAGCTCCATAGTTGCCAGTTCTAAACCTTCCTCCTTACCTTTACAGATGTCTTTGGTCCTCTCTGCAGATGGGTTAGCCTGTGCCTCCAAGCCCCAAGGCAAATTCCCTCCCTCCAGAAGTGAGATCAGGGCAGGTTTGGGAACTGGGTATCCTGAAAAGGGGGAGAAAATGGCACCTTTCAGCTGTGGGTCTGCTGTGTCAAAAGAAGGAAAACTCCAAGAGCCTCCATAAGAGTAAGATCCACAGAAGAAGGCTCAGGATTGGGGAAAGCCAAGATTTGATCAAGAAACTGAGCATCTGTGATCCCTTCCTACTTAAGAGTAGGTAAGTTAGTGAGATCCTACAAGATATATGCAAACACAGGGAATGGGTCACACCCTTCCCTAGACAAGAACTTACCTCTGGCAATGGAAAGTATGTATTCTTTACTGTGTAGAGTCCCTTGGAGGATGGGATGTACTCTTACCAGGGGACAATTCCATACACTGCTACCAAACTGACTCAGTATCTCTCCCTACCCGGCAACCTTTGAAGTGGGTCATTTGGTTTCAGCCCTGCAGCCACAGAGTGGAAGATACTGGAGACAATCCCTCCCTCTCCACACTGCACACCCAGCCTATTAGGAGAGAACAAGGAAGGAAACAGGAAAGCACAGATCTGAGTCCCAGGAGGAAAGCAGCCTTACCAAGGGATGTCAAGTTCCCATAATTCTCCAGCATAACACTTCTGTACAGGGCCTTCTGTGCAGGAGAAAGACCAGCCCATTCTGTCCCGGTAAAGTAGACAGCCACATCCTTAAAGGTCACCAACTCCTAAAACAAAAGGTTCCTGCTGCCCCAGAGCCAACTTTCTGACTCAGGGACAGAGTGCAGGGCATAGGGAACAGTATGAGGGAGGGGTCCTAATAGGGATGGCTAATGAGAAAAAATGAAGAAATTGGATGTTAGAACATTAAATGACTATTTTTACAACCAAAAATCTGAAACTTCTCTAACAGAAGAGCTTCCATTAAGACATGAAATGTACTATTCTAAAACATGGTAACATTTCAAAAACCTTGGAAAATCTCCCATTAATTAAACTTCCTAAAGCAAATTCCTTGGTTTTATAAATACTTTTAATCTTTTGTTGTTACATCTACAAATGGACATTAGCTTCAATCGGTCTAGACACTCACTCACAGGTAGCATGTCAGGACCTACCTAATCCCTCTTCACTGCCTCAGTGCCCAGGTAATCCATCTGTACCCCACAAGTGCTCATTCTGCCCCAAACCTCAAGCCCACCTTAACAAGAAGAGCATCATGGTTTGCTCTGATGAGCCTGTCTCATCCAACCCCATCTGTGCTTGAAAAGCTATACTGCCTGTATTCAAGAACGTCTAGCAGAGAGCTTAGTGGAAGAGACAGCAGGCAGGAGTGGACTTGTTGGACAAGTGGAAGAGATAGTAGGCAGGAGTTGGACTTGGTTCCTCTCTAGAAGTGGTATGAAGGGAGAATGAGTCAACAACTGCTCAGCAGTCTGGAAACTGAGTGGTGAGGACTGTGATATGGTGGTACCAGTGACTCACCAATACTTACAGAAGATCAGAAGAGGGTGGAAGCTATAGGGAAGACACTGCATCAATTAAAGTCAGGGAGAGGGACCTTCCAGATGTCAGAAACCCAGGATTGGGACTTGGGATACAGTTCATGGATGCTAAGTTATTGGATAAATAAGTCCCAGGAAGAGGAAATGGTAATCAACACCTAGCAACTCCCCAGTCAAAAAGTGAGCTACAACTCAAGAAATCAATTTCCCAGTCCCACAAATGTAAGGTACCTAATGTTCACTTAACAGATGAAGTCCATCAAAATACAGAGTTCAAGTGATTAGCTCAAGTCCACAGAGGCCTGATGGGATCCCTAAATTCAGGTGTCCTGTCCTAGTGCAGATTTTCCCCGTCATAGTCTGCTGGTGCCTCACCTTAGCCAGCAGCACTGACCTTAAGGATGATGTTATTTTCCCTGATTATGAAACCCAAACTTCTTTAAGAGGACAAAGGCTAGAGGCCCCGTTTTCTTGTCTTCCTTCTACTGGCCCTCTGCCCCCACCTCCCAAGAACCTTGCAACCTCACTGATCTCGATCACCCCCACCAAACACCAGATATTTCTACCACCAACCCGAGTCCCTCATTCTCAGAGATCCCTCCATGGGAGTCCCTACTGAACCTGGGGGCTCTTCAGTTCAGCAGAGATCCTTGGAGAACAGGAGACTGTACTTCTGATTCCCCGGACACTCTCTCCAGCCAATGTCTGCAGGGCTTCTGGCTGCTTAGCCCCTCACCATCAGCTTTCTCCCCAACATCCAGTCCTACTGGAGAGAATCAAGAGATGCCTTCCTGCTGCTTTGGTTCTAAGAGTCTTTCCAGAATTATCCCTCTCATGCCCCATTTCCTTCAAATTAGATCTCTGAAGGCTAACCTTAGGGAATCACAGCTCACCTGGTGCCAGGCGTTCAGGGACATGGCTGCCATCACCTGGGCTCCCTCTCAGTGAAGGGCAGGGGCTGAGGGAAGAAGCAAAGAGAACCATGAGTGAGCCTGGCCCAAAGGCTCTCCTTTAAACCAACAAACCTATGGCCAATAACAATACTGCCATCATTTACCCAATGCCCACTGGATAAGTGGCATATATTTCTTTCAACCCACACCATACAATGAAGTTTGAATTCGGAAGAAACAGATTTTGAAAGGGTAAGTAACTTGCCCTCGGGCACCAGAGCCTGTACCACCATCAAACCATGCTTCCTGCCCTGGGTAAGATGTAAGTACAGGGAGAATAGGAGTACACAAAGAGCAAAACAAGCAAAAACAAAATCAAAACCTAACAAGAGGAAACCCAGACCTTTATTTTTAAACATAAACTTTGGGGCCCCTCGGTGGCTCAGTCGGTTAAGCGTCTGACTCTTGATTTCAGCTCAGGTCATGATCTAGGGGTCATGGGATCCAGTCCCACACTGGGTTCCCCCCTCAGTGCGGAGTCTGCTTGTCCCTTTCCCTCTGCTCCTCCCCCTGCTCGTGCTCTTACACTGTCAAATAAATAAATAAATAAATAAATAAAATAACTTTTACTGAGAAACGTAAAAAGTTAAAAAAAAAAAATGTTCTCGGATGTAAAATACATAAAATACATATCCCTTCATTCAGGCTCCACTTTAATCCTCTTAATTTTCTTTTTCCCAAATGAGAAAACAAGGCTATGAGAATAATTTTCTTTACCAAGGTCACAAGGAGGTGGATGAACTTGGATTCCAACCAGATGTGCCTGATTCCAAAAGACACGTTTTCAGTTAACTACACTAGATCACTTCCAATTATAATCCCAAAAGGACCTCTTTTATAACATTCTGAGGTTAATATGGAATAGTCACCAAGGAAATTCAGAAAAAGAATCACAGAGTAAGTCTTCCTTTTCTTAGACCTTGGGGCCGGCATCTTTTTGTTAACCACTCCATTCTAGAACCCAGTGATGACCAAAACTGATTAGCAAAGGACCCTGAAAGGCCACCTCAACTTGCCCAAATGCTGGGTTATTACTTTAATTATATCATCCCCTACACTTTGTGCTAAGCAGTCATATTCTGCCAAAAAGCCAGCATCTTCCCTAACCTCACTGCATGCTGTAATTTCCTGCTAGCCTCGTCTTGTGCCACCCTCCTCCTTTGTTTAGCCACTCTGGCCTTCCTTCAGTTCCCTCTACTATACTAACTCAGGGCCTTTGTACCTGCTGTTGCCTCTGTATGAACTACTCTTCTCCAACTTTAGGACCTTTGTAACTGATACTGTCTGCCTACAATACTCTCCAGCAGCCTGACCCTTCTTCACCTAGGTAATACTAGATCATCCTTCAGATCATCCTCTACAAACCAAGTCGGCTTCCCATGTTAAACACTACACTCATACTGTGTTCACTTTACTGTATACCACGTCTCCCAGTTTGAGATCACACATTTGCATTAATTTGTGCTTTCTACACTCAACATTTATGTATACTTCATTCATTCCAGGCCAAGTGTGAGATGCAATGGAGAGAGGAAAAACGGATGCGACCTTCTGTCATGGAGCTCTGTCTAAAGGAAAGACACACACTAATCAAAGAGTCTCATAAGTAACTTCAAGATAACAATTGTGATTAGTGCCGGGGGAATCTATCCTAGATGGGAAGACTTAGGGATAGGAACTAACTAGGTTAAAAATGCATGTTCTGGAGGCGAAAAGCCAAGAAGGCTGTAGCACAGCCGAGGAGAGTGTGCTGCAAAACGAGGTTGTAGAAGTTGCAGAAGATGAAGCCATGCAGGGACCTGTGCACACGTTAAAGAGTTGGTCTTCGCCCAAAAGCAAGAGGCCGCAGCTACTGGGTTACAAGCAGGTAGGGTGAACCCATCAGGTTTGATTACTACGTGACTTTCCCATTAAACTGAAAGCTCCCTGAGGGCGGGGCCCACGCTCGGCTCCTTTACAGCTGCATCCCGGGAACCTGGAGCAGGGGCTGCCATGCAGCTGCTACGTAAGTAGAGGCGGGCCCAACCGGCAGGGCTCTGCAGCTGTGTCGGGCACACAGGACGTCTCCCTTCCGTCCACAGCTCCTCGCCCCAAAGCGGCCGCCGCGGGCTGAGGCGAGCAAAGGCACCCGAGGGAGGACGGAACCGGCCCGCAGGCAGCCTCCGCCTCCCTCTACCGCTGCTTCAGGGCCGCAGGAGGGGCGAAGGGTGCGCCCCTAACAGAGACGACCCGGCCACAAAGCCCACCACTCACCTCAGAAATGCGCAATGTGCGGCGTGACCGGAAGCGCGTCACCGCGCAGGCCGCGTAGCCCAAGCCGCACGTGCTTCCTCTCTAGGACGCCAGAGCGCGCCGCTCGGTGGTCCCCTGGCTTTGAGCCCCAGGGGGGCGGGCGAGGCTTCTTAACCTGCGGTCCTCGCAGACCTTGAATGGCAGGGAAAGTTGACTGTTTTCGCTGATCTCTAACCGAAATTTAGCATTTCCTTCAATTATGTGTTGGCAACAAACCGCAGTACTATCAGTAGTACCTGTGACTTTGTCACCAATTGAAATCACAGATATTTTCATACCACATCAGAGTTGATGCAGGTATCTCAAAATACAAGCTATTCTCATCCCTAATTTGAAGTTATCATCGTTGTTATGAGGGCTCACCTTTAGATCATGTCATTTCATTTCACCACAGTGATAAAGACACACGTATATTAATGTATCACAGATTTATTTTTTTAAACCATTTAACTGTATTTTAATATAAATAGTTTCAGAGTGGTCCACAGATGTCATCACAATGCCAAAGAGGTCGTTAGGAAAAAAAAAAAAAAAAAAAGTCCTCCTTAGGGGTAAAGATCCAGTCACAGTAAGAAAGACCAGGATTGCGAAGGGATATTACTTTAGAACTATTTAGGAAGTGAAAACGGTGGAGATTTTAAAAAAGTTTGAATAACAGATATGAGGAGAGGGAGCAATCTATTCTAGCCATAAAGTTTGGGTGACCTGATAGATGAAGGGGTCATTAACCAAGATTCAATTACTTCAGGAACTCAGGAAAAGAAGTTGGTTTCAGGCAGGAAGATTACAGAATTTGGTTTTAGAAATACTGAATACACACACACACACTTGCTTTATTAAAATGTAATTCATATCCCATACAATCCATCCATCTATAGTACAGAACTTAGTAGTTTTTGGTACATTCAAAGAATTGCACAACCATCACCACAATTTTAGAACATTTTCATCCCCAAAAAGAAACCTCGTAACTATCAGCACTAGCACTCACTTTCCATCTTCCCTGTGATAGGCAGAATAATGTTCCTCTCAAAGATGTCTGGAACTTGTATGTTGGCTTACATAATAAAGAAACATTAAGTCTGCAGATGGAATTAAGTTGCTTATCGGTTGATTTGAAAATAAGATTATCTTGGATTATCTAGATGGGCCCAATGTAATCATAAGACTCCTTAAAAGTGGAAGAGGTCATTGGAAGAGAGAACCACAGAGGTGACAGTTTGAGAGAAACTTGTCCCAACATCACTGGCTTTGAAGCTGGAGGGAAAGAGCCACGAATCAAGAAAAGTGGCCTCTAGAAACTGGAAAAGGCAAGAAAATAAAGTCTTTCCTTAGCCAACACTTTGAATTTAGCCCAGTGAAAGCCATTTTGGACTTCTGACTTCTAGAACTATAAGATAAATTAATAAATAAATAGAATAAATGTGGGTTGTTTCAAGTCACTGTTCACTGGTAATTTGTTACAGCAGGAACAGAAAATTAATACAACCCAATGTAAAGCTTTCCTCCATTCCCAGACAACTCCTGATTTACTTTCTGACTCTATAGACTTGCCTATTCTCGGTATTTACATCATATAATGTCCATTAAATCTGGACATGAAACAAAGTCTTTATTGTTGGTAATTTTATTAGTCTTCAGAATAATGGAAACCTATGTGTTTGTTCAGTGGCAAGACTTGGGAAGAGCTTGATTTTTTTGCTTGGGGGAGGGGGTTGCTATACTTTTAATCTACACAAACTCTCAACAACAAAAAAAAGACTACCCCAATGAGAAGAAATGTCTCAATTATCTCTGGTAAATGACCACTCCACGCAGAGAAGCAGTGTGATTTGAGTTGTATTTTGAAGTGCTTTAGACAAACTACATACTGCACCATCTTTCTTTTTTTTTTTTTTTTTTAAAGATTTTATTTATTTGACAGAGAAAGACACAGCGAGAGAGGGAACACAAACGGGGAGTGGGAGAGGGAGAAGCAG